TGCATTGTTAAACTGGTTGTGAAACTTATAAAAATACACTTCACCACACTGCCTAATGGCTGTAATCGGTCAGTTTACTGGCTCTTTCAATGCATCACAGCTCAGAGTACTATGATTTTCTGATACCCTTGCATGGCTTTGATCAATACGCCTCTGGCCGAGGGGTTATGATTTTCAATGTGGGGCAAGGAGAGCCGCAAATAAGCCATGCCCCTACATCGTCCCTTGTTCAGAGTTTGGTGAGGGAGGAATTCCCATATGGTCTTCGCCTTGAGAGACAAATGACCCCAAGGTTGAATTCTATGCTGTCAGCTGATCCCCTCTCCTTTACTGTACAGCTACAGCTACAACCACAGCTAAATCTCAAGGGATTGTGTGTTTAAAACAGACTTGCAGATGTATTCATTACATGAAGAATAATTCGTGACTGCCAGTTGTGTTAAATTCATGGGAATTCCTTTTTATAAAGATTTTTTCCCTTCATAGGACATTAAAAACCATTCTGTTTCTGCATTGGATAGGTTTTGTTTTAAGCTGTGTAAAATATCATATAATTTCATGGGCCAGATAAATTTTCCAGTTATGGCAGATTTCCGACTTGTACAGGTTCCAATTTAGACAGATTTTACTATACTACTTAAAATTATTGATACTCCCATTACATTCATTTCAATTTGGTTATATACACATGAGGAGAAACTTCAGGAAAAAATTTTAACATTTTCAACTTTTTCTGTGCAACAACAAATATTTACCTTGAAGATCCTGAACCAAAACACTGTTGAGTGTTTTTCATTTTTAATTAACATATTAATTGTTTTATCAATTTATGTGTCTCTTTAATTGGCCTAAAATGTTTTATAATAAATGTCAAACAGTCACATGTTTGTATAAATTTTGGAATGACGAAGTAAAATTAGTGTTGCCTCTTGCTTTACTATTAGACTATGTTTTTATGGAAATCATTACTGGCCAGAACTTATGCTGAATAATTGTGAACATTATTAACTTGCTAGTAATTCTATCTCTGAGCTAAGCTGTGGGACAGTTCACAAATTTCTCTTCAAATGGAAATGCCTTGTTTAAACTTTTGCCACCCTTTTAACTTATTTTACCAATGCTTCTATGACGTAGCAGATTGTCAGTTTGCTTCAAACTTGCAGTTACTTTGCCCTAATAGTTTTATGGAAGTGTGTAACTGATTTTCTTTCTACTGTTTTATTTTAGTGACTTGACTAAAATTTTGGAAAATTAATAAATGAATTTTCCAGAAAGTTACTACAGTTATGTTCATAGCAACCAATATTAGTATAAAGTAGATCTTGCACATATTTCCTGAGCTGAAATAAAATGCATAAAATGCAATGTTGAAAAACTAAAGAGTTCAAGAAAATAAGGTTTGATTTGAATGAGGTCTTGGAAAAGTACATTCAACATTGAAACAATTATATATCAGAAACAGTAGTGTGCTCAAAAAAGACTCAAATTTTACAAAAAATGCAGTACTAAAACTATTGTCATTACTACAGAATGTACGTTCTTGTATAATTGGTAATGGTTCACTAATAAAAAAATTTGCACATTCTATCCCACTTTGAAAGACCACATAAATCACATGAAAAACTCAAATTATTTAACTCAAAATTATGGGATTGCTGTATTATTTTGAAAAAAGTAAGAGTTAAATTATTTAAGATCTAATATCAAGGAATAGATTTCATTAAGAAGAAAATATCTTGCTTCAATGTTCAATGTACACTGGTTAGAAAAAAATGAACTGCAATTTTGTGGATTCGTGAGATTTCAATGAAAATTGAACCTGGACTGTGCTATTAGGTAAACTTTATTCACATCAAACAAATGGAGGACTTATAATGAATTGCTTGCTTAGACAAGAATAATATGTATCAGTTTTCAAGAATATTACAATATCATATTTATCGATAAGAAGAGAAATAGTCATTAGTTTGCACATGGAGGAGGGGGGTAAGGGTGTGCTGTGGACCCCTCGAAGGGACTCATAGTCATCCATCAAGAAACATTTTATTTCTGTATTTTATAACCTTGATTTTTTCTTCTTTTTTTTTACCTGTCATTAAGGATTTGTTTATTTGACTTAATTTAAGTTTCTTTAGAAAATGCTGAGATCTTGTGCAACCACTATTATTTTGTGCTTAAGTAGCAACATTTTCAAAAATTATTGTCAATAGTTACAACAGGCATGGATCCGTAGGGAGGGAATTGAGGAAATCATCCCTCGCTATATTTTTGTTTCAGTAACTGTTAATTTTAACTTGTCAGGAGACTTTCAAGAAAAATATTTTTGGATAATCATTAAAACGAATAAAATTGTATTGCAGCAGAGCTGAGTGTAGCTTACGATATTGTATAAAATCTGTAATATGAAATCTTTGACAAAACCATTTCGAATCCTGTAAATAATTCAACAAAACCATTTGTCATTATTAATGTTAATAATTAAAGATATAATTTGATTCTCTTGGAATATTTTATTTACTTCGTAAATTTAAAATAGTTTAATGGAAAAGGTCAGAAATGTCTATCCATTTGCATTTGCTTCTGCCAACGTTATTACGAGATCGCTGTCGTGAAACAAATACGCTAAACGAACCAGCACCTGCTTTGGTGGCTCAGTGCAGGGAGTGATGAAACTCTGTAAAATTGCTGGACAATATTCAGAAGAAATTAGGTAATTTTGGTAAGAAATCGGAAGAACAGAGTGCTAAAATTTCAGACTGTCAATGTTATCGAATTGCTCAGCCTAGCTACTCCGCTATTGTCGGAAATACTCCCACCCAGCCATCAATATCTCTTTGCTGATGATAAGAATATTCTTTGCAATAAAGAAACTGTAAATATTACAATATCAGATATTTTAAATTTGTTTCGTAATAACCAATTAATAGACAATGAAAAGAAAACTGATTTCACTTCAAATAAACAGCTCTGTACTCCATTGAAAATGGTCGTGGTCTTAGGGCGCCTTCCCACGTCGCTACGGCGTTCGCGCTTCCTTCAAGCAGCAGAGCCCTTCCGACGCCGCCACGGCCGCACCGCCACCCGCCGTGGAAGGGGGTGGGGTCTGGAGGGGTAGGTTGCGACGACGAACAAAGGGACCGGAGCAAGTAGAACGCTGCGGCCGCGGCGCAGTGGGAACGCTCCCATTTAAAGCTGTGTTCTGCTAGCGGTGGCGCGTGGCCCCTCCTCCGCTGCGCGTAGCTGGAGTTCGGCGTCGGCTGCCGCAGCAGCCGCCACCCGCTGCATGTGGGAAGGCCTCCATTCAAACCAATGCTCCGCTACGCGCCGCGCTGCTGCTAAGCGCGCCGTGGGAAGGGGCTCTTAGTTCTTTCAGTTCAGTCAAAACTTAAATGAAACGTTCATTGAAATAAATTGAACACTAAATTAAGTTCATTATTCTACGCTTTCGGAATTCTTTCAAATCCAGCCTTCATACTGTTTGTTGTGTATATTTCGTAAATGTTCATTTCCGCCTGAGATATGACATATTCTGGGGAAATATATCGTATAGCTCCCAGACTTTTAGCTTACAAAAAATTATTGTACGAATAATAAGCAAATCCCACTCACGTGATTCTTGTAAGCCTCTCTTTATTAACCTTGGTATTACCATCACCTTGCCTCTTGATACATCAATCAGTGTTGTTGTTTGTGTTTTTTTTTTCTCCAAAAAAACTTTTTTTAGGGCGGGAATATATTTTCAGTAACGCTATTGTCTATAACTAAAACATATAATATGTTTTACCACACATTACCAGATGACATGAAACGATTAAATTCGATATAAACGTATTAAGTCTCAAGTAATTTTTTTTCTGCTGCACAACTGTTTGTATACAATTAGAGACTACACCAAGCACTCAAAAGGAAAGTAATATTAATTTTAATGTATTATTTACTATTTGGATTAAATAATTAAGAACCTGAAACATGTAATTTACTTCAGCTTCTGGGTAAATGATCCCATCTCGATCAGGTTTTCGTCCACTTTCCTTGAGCAAATGCTAATATGGCCCATTGTTTTGTTTCTAGACATAAAAGTAACTTAAATTAATTTCTCCCCATAGCACGTCACAGTTTTTAAGTTTTCGACATAAATATAACATTGTATCGGTCACCATAAAAGCTCACGATTAATGCGAAAATTTACATTACTGCTGTAGTAAGGAAATGAATTCTGTTGCTGTGGCACGTTATTAAGGCTTTATGGAGTGTTGCTTGCGATATAACTATTTGAACAATATTAGTTTAGTTTGGTTCGAGAAAAAGCTGATGCAAATAATTCTCTTGAATCTAAGGCAATGTTCGGTGAGGAAGTTCGCGCCTCGACTTTCAGTAGCGTTACCTTCAGATTGTTAGTAAATATGACCAGAGAAGTGTCATTTGGTGGAATGCGAGGAAATGAGGTGAATTTACCTAATATACATTTTAATAATACTATTAATAATATTACAATTGACATTAATTGCACCAAAACGATTGAGAGTTACTTTTTTTCTGAACTGTTTTAATTTGTTTCGTATATCGCCATGTTTTCTTAATAACCTTTGAATTGCTATGAATCGATGGTTTATTTACGTTTCTAAGGATATTAAATTTCTTACCACTCAACATTACACATTAACGGATTAAAGACGCATGTGACCGATGAAAGATTTTAATTGTAAGAAATCAACTTGTCATTACTTTGGAGCAGTTGCTGGATATGAAATAGTGCGCAGACATGTGCCCTACGAAATGTTCTCTCGTTAACTGCGTAGATATAGATTGCCAGACAGTGATGTACTTTTATGGTCTAAATCCTAAGGAAAACATCCGCGTGTGTACTCTGATGGGCCAGATAGAACAAACGAAGTTGAAGGTCGTAAATGGGCTCGTCTTACGAGAGAATGTTTATGGCGCAAGCGTGTTCCTGTGGTGTTAAATGAGTTTGTGATCTAGTTTTATATCTTTGTTTCCAGAAACCTGTAATCCGCCGCTATGACGTCGGAAAGCGTAAGTGCTGCGGCGAGTCCCTTGCAACGAACAGTCGAGGAAGCTCTGAACCTCAAGGTCGAAGAGCAGGAGGCCCTGCGCCAGCGAGAGCTGGAGGTGGAGCGCAGGATCGAGGAGGCCGTGCGCTCGAGGGTGGCAGAGGCCCTGCGCCTCCAGGAGCAGGAGGCCGTGCGCCGCAAGGTGGAAGAGGCCCTGCGCCAGCAAGAGCCGAAGACGGAGCGCAGGATCGAGGAGGCCGTGCGCGCGAAGGTGCGAGAGGCGCGGCGCGAGCTGGAACGGCACTTCGACGACCGGGTGCGCGACGGCGTGCGCGTCAAGTACGAAGAGGTGATTCGCGCGGAGACGCTGGAGGTGGAGTGCCGGGTGCAGGAGGCGGTGCGCGTCAATTTGCGAGAAACGCTGCTCGCCAAGGAGGAGATGTTCGAGCGGAGAGCGCAGGAGGCCGCGCGCGTGCAAATCGAAGCGGCGCGCCGCCTGCAGGAGGAGGAGGCCGACCTCAAGGTGCGCGAGGCGCTGCGCGTGCAGGAGCGGCAGATCGAGATGCGGATCGGCAGGGCCGTGTCTGCGCAGAGAAGGAAGACGAAGAAGGAGTTGGAAGTGTTGCATCTGGAGGTGCGACACCGGGGCACGCTCATTCACGAGCTGCGAACCACCCTGGACGCGCGAATGCGGCACGTGCAGCAGAGGCTGGCGATGGTGGAGGGCAGGCTGAGGCGCGCGGTAAGAGAGCAAACCGAGAGGGCTGGGGGGCAGCGGGAGCGGGCGGCGGAGGCAGCCTCGTCGAGTGACGACAGCGACGGGAGCGTGGGGGATTGGTCGCTGATTGACTACGAGGCAGCTGGCAGCGACCTGGACGAGGCAGCGCCGGACGTGGATGAGGGGGTGGGAAAGGCCTCGGAGAAGAGTGGGAGTGAGGAGGCCAAAGAGCGCACGTCTGGGGCGTCCCCGCCCGTATCGACCTCCGCCGCCCCGCAGCCGCCCACGGCGACCGACGCCGTGGTCGACCCGGAAGCGGCCGCGCAGGCCACCCAGCGGAGGCTGCAGGTGGAGCAGCTCGTGGCGGAGGTCTGCCTCAAAGCGAAGCGAGCCTCCGAGTCGGAAGAAAAGCTGTGCGTGGCGGCGTTCTACGGGAAAGTGGAAAAAGTCCGCCGGCTGTTGGACTCCGGGGTGGACGTGAACTGCGTCAGCCGGTTCGGGCGCTCTCCCCTGATATCGACCTTTTACTTCAACGGCTGGGCGACCGGCGACCGAGACCGCTATCTGATGGTGAGCCTGCTCCTGGAGCGGGGCGCCGACGTGGACGCGGTGGAGGTGCAGGGGTCGACGGCGTTGCACCTGGCGGCGCTCTACGAGACCGTGTACGGCACGGTGCCGCTGCTGCTGGCCGCCGGCGCGGCGGTGGACGCCAGGGACGCGCACGGGGCCACCCCGCTGCACAGGGCGGCCTTCAAGGGGAACGCGGCGTCGCTGCAGGTGCTGCTGGCGGCCGGCGCCGACCGCGCGTTGCGCTGCTGGGGCGGGCGCTGGGCGGGCAAGGCGCCGGTCGACATCGCCAGGACCGACGTCGCGCGGGAGCTCCTACGCCAGCCGGACGGCGCCTCCGGCCCGTGAAGAGCGCGCGCCTTCAGCAGTTGGTGTAAGAGCCCTCGTCAGTGATGGTCGCGACCGTTTCGGCAATGTTATGTCCATTTGCGAGATTCAATTGGTCCACGCGTGGAACTGTTTTGTCAAGGTTACTTGTAAGTCCATTGCAAACATTTTTCTAGATTATCAGTCACTTGGTCCACGCTTGGAAACGTTCATTAGCGTAAGAGCCCTCTTCAGTGATAGTCGCGACTGTTTCGGCAATGTTACGTCCATTTACAAGTATTTTGCGAGATGCTAGGAACTGTTTTGTCAAGGTTACGTCTATTTGAAAGTATTTTGCGAGATTCAATTGGTCCACGCGTGGAACTGTTTTGTCAAGGTTACTTGTAAGTCCATTGCAAACATTTTTCTAGATTATCAGTCACTTGGTCCACGCTTGGAAACGTTCATTAGTGTAAGAGCCCTCGTCAGTGATGGTCGCGACTGTTTCGGCAATGTTATGTCCATTTGCGAGATTCAATTGGCCCACGCGTGGAACTGTTTTGTCAAGGTTATTTGTAAGTCCATTGCAAACATTTTTCTAGATTATCAGTCACTTGGTACACGCTCGGAAACGTTCATTAGAGTAAGTTTCCACCTCAACGACGGTCACAACTGTTTCGACAATGATGTTTATATCCATTGCAAACATTTTGCGAGATTCAATTGGTCCACTCTTGAAAACGTTCATTAGCGTAAGCGCCTTTGTGAATGAAGGTTACAACTATCTCGCAATGTTATTTATACGTTCATCACAAATATTTTGCGAAGCGATGTCTCAATTGGTCCACGGCGAAACGTCCGTTTCGAAATGTCCACGCTTGGAAACTTTCATTACTATAAATGTTCACTTCACTTAAGGTCCATAATGTTTTGTCATGGTTCTGTATAAATCCATACCAAACATTTTTCGAGATTCACTCAATTGATCCACGCTTGGAAACGTTCATTGGTGTAAACGTCCTATTGAAAGAAGGTTACAACTGTTTTGGCAATGATATTTGTCATGTAGGCAAACTTCGAGTGATTATCAGTCGGTCCACGCTTGCCAAGGTGGAACTGTTGGCTTGTCAAGTTCATTAGTGTCCGTCCTCTTCAGTTGAAGGCAAAACTGAAAAGTTGAGAGCATCAGTGGTCCAACCCTCCTTCATTAGAATCTGAGATATTGAACTTCAAAGTTGACACGTCTTTTAATCAGTGGTTTTTCTGAACATTAGAATTCTTTACCATACAAGAAACACTCTCATAGATTAAATGAAATAGGTGATTGAATTATGTTGCTTAATACATCATAAAATGGGTTAGACCAGTGGTGCACCGAACTCAAACGTTCATTGCGAAAAATTTTTAATTTTTGAAGAAAATAAATATCATCCTTGAAATCTACAGAAATGTACATTTATTTACTACTTTGATTTTATAGAAAGTTAAAAAAATGTGTAAGAAATTATTGAAAATAAATGTTATAAAAATTGTTTGAATGTAAGCAGTTTCATGTAAGCCACATACGTCATGACCATATTAGACTAAGAAGTAAAATATGAAGTACAAAATAAAAATAATTACAATATTGTAATCAGGTATGTCAAAATAATCTTCGTGATCATGACTTACCTTATCAGTTTCGCCAGAGAGACTGTTGGAGAATTGTATTTTACATGAAGAATTGTATTTTACCTTGGAGAATTGTATTTTTCATGAAGAATTGTATTTTACCTTGGAGAATTGTATTTTACATGAAGATGAATTTGTGCGAGATCGAAAGTGTTTCTCTCTAAGTATTTTGCCCTTAGTGACATTTACTGAACTGCAACTCTTGTTCTGACAGTGAATGTTCAAAGAATTATTTCCTATGCAACCTTATCTCCTTCAGTGAATTTTCTATTACTCTTTTTCACAATTGGTTGTGCTGAAACTCTATTTTCGTCTCTTCTTTCCACTTTTTTGTACTGTGTTTTCCATTTCAAAAGTTTCATTTAAATCACATTTCTTACACCGCCACCCATGTGGTTATGGGTGCACGTAACTTCAATAGGCTAGTTCTAATTGGGCAAATTGGGCTAGACTACTGTTGGCACTAAAATTTGTTACATTACTTTGAGAACAAAAATTAGCAGAACTGCTAACACTCAAATACTTATTGTAATTAATATTTATTGGATCTGCACGTAGTTCATAGTTTTATTTTTAAATTTACTTACCGTTAAAAACTATTGTAACGGGCTATGGGGAAAAGTTAATTTGAAGTTACATTTATGTCCAGAAAAAAAACAAGAGGGGGATCTCAACATTTGCTCAAGGATCAGGGAAACTGGCCGAAAACCTGATCAAGGGAGTCATTGACCCAAAAAACTGAAGTACAGAGATGAATGAAAATGATTAATGAAAAACAGATGCTGCGGTTAACTCAATTTCAACGTGAGAGGAGGGTTACACCACTGTTTGCACCACCCTTTCACTGTTTCTTCTCCAATGTCATATGTCCATTTGCAAACAGTTTCAGTCAATTGGTCCATGAACAAAATGTCCACTGCAAAAAATCTTCATGCTTGGAAACGTCAGTTCTATTATTAATGCCCTCTTCATTTAAGGTCATAACTGTTTCGTTAATGTTATATATGTTATATATTGAGACCGTCCTGTATTAGGATACTTTACTAACATCTATTTACCTGAGATCCACACCGCTTACCTGGAAAATGTGTGTGTGTATATGTATATGTGTATATATATAAGTTCAGTCAATTGATCCACAATGTAATCCTCTTCAACAAGGTCGATACTGTTATATCAATATAATGTCAATTACAGAAGTTTTGCAGGATTGTCAGTCAATATGTCAACAGGCAAATGTTCACTGCAACAATATTTACACTTCAAATATTGATAAGTATAAATTTTCATTGCAATTAAGGTCCAAGTTGTTTCGTCAGTGTTATGTTTTGTTGTAGTGAAACCCACCCCACCCAAAGCCGATAAAAAGAAAAGAATAGAAAGAAAAGTAGTAGAGCATTTTGTTAAATCCTGTCGGCTTTCTTCACTCCTGGGCAGTAAAGTATGTATGGACGGGAATGTTTAATTTGTAAATCAATATCATGCGTTTTTATTTACATTCTATCTGTTGACATCTGTATCATAAAATGAAAATTATAATACCCCAATCCTTCATCGTATGGTAACTCTGAAGTCAACGATTTTAATCACAAATTATTAATATTTTTAATTGAAAATTATAAAGTATTTATTAAATGTTTAATACACACACACATATATATATATTATAAACAAGGTAAATTTTTATCATAAAATTATTTTAACAAAATTAAAATATTAAGTTTAATATTTAATAAATACTTTATAATTTTAAATTAAAAATATATATTATATACAAGGTATAAATATATAAAAATATATGTACAAATATAATACACAAAGATATACAATCCCCCCCGAAATTTGTTACTGGATCTGTCCGTTTATATTAACACAAGAGCCGGAGGAAGGCCCTCTGGAATAGAAAGCCTGCTCCTGTGCCAAATGACGTCTCGAAGGGTGGCTGACACGAAATATGTGCTGTCCAACCGGGATGGCAGTTTCAGACAAATATATTTCTTGAATCCCAGGTAAGCACGTACTCGTTTAATTTTAGAATGAATTAATGAAACATCAAGCGTTCTTGGCGCTCAAGGAATTTATTTTGGTTATTTGTATTAAGGCATTCTGGTGTTGTACAATTTTTGTACGTGTAAATTTCGCATAACATTGAGAAGACCATAATTGCTATTCATATTTATTGAGTCAAATTATTTACAGTAAATTTTTAAATTCATAAAACAATTTGTTGCTCTCATTGATACTAATAAGCACAAATTAGTAACTTCAGGATATAAATTCTATTTGTTTTAACCTGCTCTAATTCTTTCAAGATGTCTTCATTAATTTATTGTAAAATGCCTTGTGTAATGCACATTTATCAGATAATTCTCTTATGACCATATTAGCAATTTAATGTTTTTGATACTTTTGTAAGAGAAGGTAAAGTTTTATTCATCGATAAGTTATTAAATTAAAAGTTGCTCAAAAATAAGGAAAGAAAAGAGATGCAATATGTGCTAGAAATGGGTATGCAAGTATAATCCAAAATGTGCTCTCAGATAATATAAGACTTAATGAAAATTCATAAAACACATTAAAAATACATGAAAATTGTTTTAACAATGTTTTAATGTTTCCAATTTTTCGTGCACTTTTGTGACCTTCTGACTTGCATATCGTTGAAGTCTTTACACTTGTCATTTATTAATTTACAATTATTATTTAACAAAATATTTTCCATTCCCATTACACTGTTTTCACTTAATGTGGAAAGCACTACTCAACAACTAGAAACTTTGTATTCTATTATCTGAATATCCACTTTCTCTAACACTATTCTCTTTAACACAGCTCTCTGATTTTCATGCTTCAGGAACTTCATTTCAAAAGTTTTTGAGATTAACACCTGAAAACAGCAAACTAGTACCCTAGACACACATTCTTTTGGCCATTTTAAACCACCTTGATTTAATGAATCAAAATAAAATCCAGTAGGATTTTCTATTTCCAAGTCTTTCTTTTATTAACATATTTTTACAGTATTCACACACAACTCTTCGACTGACAGATGAAACAACATATCCTGCACCATAAATTAATGAGGTTATCTCTTTGTTATTAAGTGCAATATTGTCAGACAGATGGAACATCCTGAAATTGAACTTAAATACTAGCATCCTTAGATGTGTTGCCATTGTAATCACAAACGAAAGATTCCAAAGTGAAGGAATCTTCATTAGCTGAACACAAGTATATTATATTCATTACCTTTAGCTATCATTCTGTTCAAAGAATCTGGTGAACGATGTATGATAATTTGCGTTCATTGATGAAACTACCCAAATCTTCCTTCCAAGTTATCCTTAATACTTTCATTATTATTATTATTGAGTAAGGAAAAGTATATTTACAACTTTCCAAAAGAACAGCCTTTTAACACACCAAAAATATTCACTACTACATATCAGACATTTTGTATCATGTAACAAAGCAGTACGCGGTTCATCTGTTAATTTACCACTTCTGGAAACAAGACCTGTTTGGGGAACAGTGCTCTAAACAAACAAAATAGTTTCAAAAACTGGATGTTTTTACTATCAACTGATCCAATAGGTTCTTGGAGAAAAACCTTAAATCAAAGCCCTTTGTTAGGGTACTTACCATTTGATTTTCCACCACTTTAAAATGATATCCAAAAAATGTTTGGTACCCCTACTTTAATCACAAAGACCAGTTTTGTTCTTAAAGATTTCATGTTGCAATCCAACTATTGTTTTCTCATCAAACAATGCCACTGCTATTTCAACCTTGTGGCATTGTATTGAAGTGGGAAACAAAACCTTCCTGCACAATGCTGGACACAGTTTTATACAATCATTTTTTCCAGATCATATAATTTCTTCAGGTGAGAAGTACTTGCTTTGTTTATTTTTTTTTAAGATTGTCAAAACCAGGTACAAAGAAAGTCTGATCTCCATCTCTTTAATTTAGGTAATTGTTTCTAATTGATTTCAGTAAGTGAACAGTATAAAAAAGGATACATATTTGTTTGCCTTCCTGAAAAGTATTTTCAAATGATAAATTGAGATCCCCCCCCCCCCCTCAGTTTCTCAAACATATTTCTGTTCACTCTATTGTTATCGGTCTATGGAAAAGAATTTCAAAGCCACACATCTTTACAAATTCAATGACAATGTTGGTCAGTACACGATCGGCATTTAAATTTATCACAGAAAAAGAAACCGCGGCAAGATCTCGGTTTTTGGAAAACACGGAACGTATCATGTAACCCTGTAATGTAGTCCTTTCATTTTTGTTCATTTCAATCAGCAAATCCAACTATTCTTCAATTTTTGTATGCAACATTGGGTTTCACGTAGAAGCACAAGTTTGAAATATTCCTTTCGGAAGGGGCTTATTTTGGCGGGCTTCGCCCACCGCTGCTATGGCTGCTATAGTGGCAAATTTCTTGGCCTCCTGTACGCACGCGAGTCGCGCCCTACTCCAGCAAGGAGGAACTGTTAATCACAGCGGCCTTCGCTGTTCATTTCGTCACCGTCGTCCTTAAACAAATTGTTATCCACTTCTTCGTCTATAATTACATCATATATTTTTATATTCCTTATTGAAATGGACAATATTCAGAAACAAACTGTTCGGCATCCATTTTCTTTAACTTGCAGAAGGGCACCAATGCTTTGTTTAGCAACAAGATTCTTAATATAACCCTAAACGAATTCGATGCGATTGCGATCAGGATGAGAACGGAGCTTGATACTAAGGTTAAATTGCCTGTGAACGGTTGACTAAGAAACAAATAATATTACCCTTGAGAACTTCACTTGAAATTACACTTACGCTA